ATATTCTTTTATATTAAAATAGTTTTCTAAAAATTCTTAATATCTTAATACTTAATTAACTTAATAATTAATAATAATTAAAAATAATAATAAATAATTAAATATTAAATATTATAAAGTATTTACTTAAAAGACTTTTAATTTATTAAAAGTACTTAAGTAATATTTTATAAAAGGGAGGCATTTTCTATATTAGGTCAAGTAGTATTGCAGAAGGTGTAGATGCCTGTGAGCATCCAGATCTTGGCCTTCTCGCTACAGGCTGCCGATATCCAACGGCTTAGCTTGTCGCGCGCATCGTCACTTGCCAGGACATGCTTGTAGAAGAACGATGGAGAGCTTGAAGAAAGGCTATATTAGTGTGATACTTCTACATAAAGCGGTAGGGGATCGGAAATTAAACATACTCCGTTAGTTCGATGCAATGTCCACCTTGAGCGAGAAGGAGTCTCGTCTTGGTTAAGTTCCACGGGAACTTTATTGTCACGGCATCCGTAACCTCGCCTCCAATTGCGAGCTTTAAGCCGGGCGTTGACGAAACCTTGAAATTTGCTGGGAGCTCGGAGATATATCCGAGTCTATGGAGGTCAGTATTACTACGTACTTGCATTGGCGTACAACTCTGTAAGAATCACAAACGGCACAACCCACGATAACTTTTCGTGTATGTAATGTCGTACAGTAGTGGGATTCGCGTAGTCCCGAAGAACTAGATTTCCAAGACACAATTGTTCCTGGTCTCGGTCTACCCCATATAAGAAGAATGTCTTTTTCTCGTGGTAGCGCATTGGTTAATATTCGTTACTGTTTCACAACGTCAGGGGTTATTAACTGTCCAGAAGGCCGGGAAAATTAGATATTTTAATGATCTCCCTGCTTGAACCTCTAGAGTAATGGTCTCATCAGGCGATAGGATGGATTCATGAAAAGATGTCGGACCTTGGCCTTTACTACTCTGTCTGGTCTAGCGGCTGGAATAGACGGCAAGCGCTGACAGACAAGTAGACACAACTCATACTACTGTTGCTAGAATGACATGATTTGCATCGGTCAGCCGGTATAGGCTAGATGTATAGTGCTATTAATGCTATTAATGCTAATCACACCTTTTAGTATAGGACTTGATGAACCCTAACATCGGATACATGGAAACCGGCTACCCCTTCGGTTTAACGGCAACTATATGGGCTTCCATCAGACCGAGATATCTCTCCCAGGTCCAAGTTACTCATGGCATTCACTTATCCAAAATCACAGCAACAGCCAAAGAACCTAGATTTAATTCAGTGCTGCTGAGAGCAAAAGCTGGACATGCACTGCCTGGAACTCCAATAATCGGTGATGATACTGTTATACTCTAATCTGGAGACGAGAGCCGGTAATCCGCGCCTAGGGGTTGCCTACTCAAAATTCCAGACTATAGTAATAATTGAATATACTTCCAACTGTGGTTCACGGCCCAGAAGGGATCGTTCTGGGTCGCGGCAGGTTGCAAGGCCATACGTTTCACGATGCTAGATGTTAATGCCGTGCTGGCTTGATGTCTACGTTGTGGGCTAGAAGTGTTATTTGCAGTTGAGATTTGTGGCTGTGAGCTTATTCCGGCAGAGAGGACGTAGCTATTCCTCCAGCTCAATCCCGATATGCAGATCGGAATCCACGGTGTGGCAATCAGTGATGTGCCATTCCTGGCGGCGGATATCAAGTTCCCTTATGCCGAGCTCGGGAATGCCTGCACCTTGGATGTAGGTCCGAGTTCATTTCCGTTCGATGCACAGCTCTCGCCCCAGTCGTTTGTGTTTAATGAAAGCTGTCACTTTACTGGAGCCATTGACTTGAACACATGGTTCGACGCATTCATCGACTTCCTCGCTAACTTCCGGCCGTTCCATTTAACCGCGGGAGGTGAAATAGCTGATGATGTACGGTCAAGTCTGGATCTGTAACTCGTTACTATCAGGATCTCGGCCGAGATCCGTGCCACCTTGACTGTGATGGGCCTTTCTATGGCCGGGGCAGTCAACGTCGACTTCAGGATATTCCGATTTGATATAGAATTTGCCAAGCTTGCCGCTGTCTGACAACGGGATACGCTCCTCTCAGTGGATGCCTTCAGAGTTTTTGCTCTCAAATCCTGGGAGGCAGCAACAAGGAGCAGGGCATCCCGCTAGTTCCCGGGAAGATCTACGAGGAGCGCGAGATGAACCAACCATTCCAGTTCAACTGCGATGCAGGGTTGATCCCTAACAGTGATCCTGAGATATCATCAGCCCCCTCGTCTCCAGGATTCGCTACTTTGCACGCGCCGGTGACCGACGGCACATGGATTGTCTGAGGTGCAGCGTTCAGCTGCATCATTAGGGTAGAGTTTGTAACGCCCGCCGCGAAGGTTAATGACTAGCGGTAAACAGTGGAGGAAATTATCAAACATGTTGGGGTTTTCGAAGCGCACCAGCAGATATTCGCAAGGCTGATGCAGCTGAGGGACCACCAGTGACCATCCGACCACACCATCATCCAACCCGAGACTGTCAAACCATCTCCCTAAGGTAATAAACAGACTGAAAGAGAATGGGGCACTCAGCCAGTTCTGAAGGCTGTTCCGCAGCCCATTTGGGGGCAACGTAAGTGCCGTTCCTTTAATGCCGTACCAAGGCGCATCATGAGCTGACTTACTCCCTTCACCAGACTCCCCATCAAAAGATCCTGCTATTTCCAGGAACAGGATCAATACTCTTTTTAATAGCCGCAACCGTGGCCATATTGCCGATATTATGGACTTTACTATAACTCCGCCGCCCCTATTCAAGTCGCGAGATACCTTGCCTAAGATCAATATGCACCGAAACGCGCTACAGTCAGTCAATACAGACAGTTATGCATTTCCTCCCGACGTAACGAAGGAGTCTCGCGCCGTATGAGATCCCCGTGCTCTGACAGAAGAGGAACAGGACAAGGCGACGAAGGGCAAGAGGTGGGAAGCGGATGGTCGGGGAATGACACGAAGAAGAGGAGGTCTGAGGTAAGAGATGTCATTTTGTTTTATGATCCATTTTATGTAACTTACCTTAATACAATCGAATTGATAATAGTAGACTCATTTACAGGTTCGCCAGACATCATCCCGTATATGTAGACCTCACCAACGAGTTGAAATTCGCCTAGGACCTTTTCCACTGGCCGAATAATATACGGTACTTTCCCCCCTACAAAGACGCAAATTTGGTCTCCTTTCTTGGTGTTGGAGGATGCTAATCCCACGTGTCCAGACTCTAGCAGAATTGGAACTCGTGAGTGCAAGAAGCGTAGCCGTGTCGTGTACCAATGAGAAGACTGCCAACTATCCCAGCTGTGATCGGCAGTCAACTCTTTCGCCAAATGCCCGTCTATCTGAGGCTCCATTACGCTATCACTCGTAGGAGATGTAGATAGTTTCAAATAATCCATCAACTCTCGCCAAGCTTGAATACAGTTGTGAAACTCCTTCTGAACCTCTGTCTTATCATAGGCGGCCGCTATGGCTACGTGTGCAGCAGCTCTCTCCGCCTCATCGGGCGTCAATTGCCGGGACCTGGTGCAGAATGATTGGATCTCCTGTAGATAAGCAATGGTTTGGGATACGTCGAGAGAACCAGTCCAATCAGGATTCCATACTGAACCGCACTGTTCAATCGCGCCGACTATCGCCCCTTTGAGCTGTATGCTGTGCTCATCGAGCGACGTTACGCATTGTTGGGAAGCCATGCCTGCAGATGCGCAAAAGCTATGCGACCACGGAGGCCCAGTACAAGGTGAACGTATTTGAGTACGCCAGTCTGGAGTCCACGTTGGCATGTCAGGCGATAGCTTTGGGAACTGACAGTACGCAAGAAGATCGATATGTCCTTGTTTCAAGATAACCAGCGCAATTTCGCGATATATCTCTTCGCATGATCGCGAGTAGTCTATTATGTTGACGAATTCATCAGCGTCGTGAGCTAGATGCAGAATCGAAAATACTCTGTCCAGAGGGTTTGTCGCTTGAGGTTGGTTGTAGTCGCGCTCTAGGACCAGTGTAGTGACTAGGACGTAAAAGAGTGCATCGCTGCTGATGTCCCCATCTTGGCGCGCCCAGTATCGGCATCGCCTAGTTACGACACCTTCCATAAAGCTCGTAGCTGACGTTAAATAGGCACGAGGCAGACTATCGCCGAGAGGGTCACTAGATCTATCCGGGGATCTCGAAAAGTGTCCTTCCAAGAGCTGATTCATATAGGCGAGCAATGCCTCCAGATTCCAATCCCATACCATCACATCACCACACGCAATGCGCAGGCTACTGCCGACAGCGAACTCTTGGATGATCCAGAGCCTCTTCCAGTATTCCCGTTGGCAGAGAGAACGAAAGGCACGGCTGATGGCTTGTAATCCTTCTTTATTCGAGTGAGCAGCGAGAACGCTACTGTGATCGTCTGCCCAAATCGCCTCCCCCATTCTCTCAATGTGTTTCAAAAGCATATCGCTATCGTCTGCGGCAGGCCCAAGCCAAGCTATGACAAGATATGCTTCGGTATAAATGCTTTTCATCTGCTGCACTTGGTCGCTCTTCTCGGCGTTGTCTTGTTGGTTGATGCATATCTGATCTACCCAGACGAACCTGTCGGCATCCTCAACGACGAGTTGCCGGAGGACTTGTTCGACTGTACAGCTAACTTCATATATCTGGTCCCCAATTGCAAGTTGGGAGCTTGTTGTGCTTTTGCCCCAAGCGTAGGAAACAGCTGTGTATGGTGGGCAGCAACCACGGGAGAAGGAGACGAGTTCACAAACGACAAGGTCTGCACTTATCCCGGCAGGTCGATGGCAGGATCGTGGCTTTAACTTGATTAGTCGTATGGCATTGGTCCCTGTTGGGAGTGGCACATATATCATATCACGCAGGGGTTGAATTTGAGCGACCATCTCGGACGGGAGGACATGGGTTTTTGGTGAATAGGTCTGCGGGTTATCTTGTGATCTATTCTGATTACGTCTTTCTCTTTGGGTATCGATAAGTTCTGCTGCCTAATATGAAATCTCGTGACCAGGAGTGTGACGCTTTAAATGCGGGGTAGACCTGACATCAGCATAATCTTGACCTTCAAGTTAAACGACCAAAACTCAACAATGGAAAGCCTATCCACGGCCGCATCTGTAATTGGCATTATATCCATCTCGTTCGAATATTCTCGTATAAGCATCTCGTATGACTCCCTCAAGCCCGGATCGGAAAGTTCGGGGCATTCAGCCCAACTCAAACCGACAATCACCAAAGTTCGCAATAGCCTTTCCAATCTCACCTCGTCAATAGAAAGACTATGCGATATCCTTCAGATGATCAAGATCAAGCCCCGGAATATCATGCAGCCGCTACCAGTAGAAGAGGAGCTAGCGTTTGGCCACTGTGCTTCCGACCTAATAAAGCTTGAGAGTCTGGTACGGAGAATACAGCAAGAAACGCCCCATACGGGGAATCCTTCGATGAATAGTATGCGGGGATATCCCATGGTTCTGAGAGACGGCCATGTTGAGGAAATGCAGGATATTTTAGAGACCCATATCAAGGCCCTGGAGCCGTTGGCTCGTATGCCTTCTAGGTATGCCATTCTCCAACTGAAATATTCTTAGTGGGAGTCTAACTGTGTCATTGTATAGTGTCAGCCAACCGACAGGTTCTGAATATTCTACTGTCGTGCCAGAAAGGCTGATGGACGAAATGAGCTCAGCAAACTTCATAAATGAATTTGATTCAACGACCTCAAGCTCGGTCCGTCTTCGAGACAACGAAGGTCGAAAGGCTCTAGCAAATGATAGACAAGACGAGTTTCCTAGCCGCGTAAAGAACGCAATGCAACAATTGCATACTAAAGATATCACATTTTCTAGACCACAACTGTATAGCATTTTGTGTCTACTTGTCGAAATAAACGGTCTTCAGAAAGATGAGGAGGAGGCAACCGATAGCCAGGAGGAAGACGTGAGCCAGGAGGAAACAGAATACGAGGCATTCAAAAGACAAAGTCATATATGCTTACGACAGCTGGCGAACCTCGCGAAAACGAAATTAACGAGGTCCCGCCCATCGCCAGAAGCAAGAAACATCATCTTGGCCCTGAAAGAATTCCTCTCGGAAGTAGAAACAAGATCGGACCTACAGAATGAAAACTCTGTATCCTTGGCAGGTAAACGGAAAGTCGAAGGGGGGTCTAGTAGTGAAATTACTCGTGATGGGAATGATTTGCATAATTTCAAGAGGGCTAGACGCATGAATGTAGGGTATCAGTGGCCATCTATGACGACTAGCAAATCAGCGAGGCAGGTCCAGCTTTGTGGGCGTCTTGCAAATGAGGGTCCGTGATGGGAATGTGTTAGATCCGACTTTATAGGTTAGAGCGTCAAGATTAGTGCAGGCAACAGATAATAACTATATTCCCGCGCGCAATGAAGGCAAGATATAATCGATGTGACCAGTTAAACTATCGAACAAGGCGAAGACGACACCGTCTAGACGTCACTCGATTAGATTGGCAACGACATACTCCAGAACGCAGACAGAAGCACAAGTACTTCAACTGCCATGGAAAATGCCTTCAGTTCGTGAGGATCGGAAAACACGATCCAAGTATACCACCGCGATCACGCCTCATGTTTCTAGTCGATACTCGAATTTGATAAAGGCATTTACAATTCTGCTAACCCGATCCTTCTTGCAATGCTGATAACATGTCTTCATACGCCACCATAAAATCCTGGCACGACTTATCTAATTGCATGTCGGGAAATAAAGGTAACTCGGATTCCAGAATCTGATCAATATCTCTTGTAACCTTTTTGATTTCCTCGACCACAGTAACCATCTTTCGGGCTGCGATTCCCAGAATATCCATCTTATTGAGAGCTTTTACGCCTTCTCTGTACTCATATCTAAGTCGAGGCGTAACATTTTTTGTCCTTGGCGTAGTCTGAGACATTCTGGCACTTTGGGTTGTTAGTTAGGTTAGGTTTGAGGAGGGGGAAAGGCGGGGCGCATGCGGTCTCACACTAAAAGAAGAAACAGAGTCAGACATTTGACCTGCATCTGAAGATCTGGCATAAGATCTGATGGATTTTGTTTCAGAAGGGCTGCGAAGTTGATAGGTAGAACCGACTGGTTTAGAGACTGGGATGGATATATGCTTGTTAGCTTTAGCTTCTTGCTTAAGCTGGTGGTTGGGGAAGAGGCGCCTGATGGCCTTTTTTGAGATAGAGTCATCGTCGCCATTGCACAGGTGCAGATATCTAAGATGCCATCCATTGTACTTGATGGTGCGTTCAATCGTTACTTATAATTCATACCCTTTCCTCAAGATGAACCAGCTGCTGATGGTTGCACGCGTAGGCCATTTCAATACCCTGCACGTTCGTGCCGACAAATATCGGCGCAAGGAAGACTAGCGGGATCTTATTGGACCGTAGCGCCATCTTGTTGAAGGATGGACGATCTGGAGGGAAGGAAATGAAACTTACTGGGGTTTGTTGGGTGGTACCGATGGAATCTGATCTGGGGTTCTAAGTAAGCATTTAGATCTTGGGTGGCGGTCAGCATGGATGGTTCGGAGATTGAGACGCGTCCCGTGTGAGATTCCGATGTTGGAACGATTACAGCGAATAACTGGTCCAGGAGGTAAAGTGTGTGCCGTCATTGCAGACACGGCAGCATTCATAGCTCGGGTTTTATCCCCGATTTGTCGGTTCTGAAACGTGCTTAGATCTGTTTTAGATCAGCGATTAGTGATCGATCTGAGATCATGGGGTTCCCTAACGGTACATGCCAAGGAACCCAGCAACCAGTTTCTGGGGAGAAAAGATAAACGATCCAACTAAAGCAATATTCGCTGGCGATCCTATCTGCGAGCCGTTTTTTGTTTCCCCCTTGACTAACCGAGATGCGGCGCACTCAATCACTCAAAATGGGTATTAGGCTGGTGGATTACTGTAGAGGACATGAGATAGATCGCTCAAACTGCAACTATATGAGGCAGTATATTTACCAGGAGAGGGCACTTTGCGCAATTGTAACAATACTGAACCAGAGGACCTGGGAATAAGCGTAAGTGTAAGTGCGGAATTAGGTTTAGGGCGTGGCGCTGTGAGACACGGCTTAGCCGTGATACAGGGGTTTCGCATTTTTAGTACTGTTAATCCCCTCCAATGGCTGCTGATGTGACAGTGATACTAACTAGGATCTCTCGGAGTCACCAGTTGCCGATCCCAATGGGTGTCGTCACAAGGATGGACGCATTTTATGTATTGCGGGGTTGGACCATGGAGAAGGGCGAGTTCACTCCTTTACGTATAGCTATATTAATAATATTAAATTATTAGTCCAGCTTATGACTGGCAGACTTACCCAGTAAGCCTGCTGACCACAATTACCCAAGAACGTAAGGTCAGTCACTTACCAGTATTATTATTACTAAGGAGGAAAGATCAAATCAAGAGTAGGGAATATTGAGTCCTAAGGTAGCGAAAGATCGGTTATAATAAAGTAATTCTAATATAATGTATCTGTCATTTGGCTACAGCCCGTCGAGTTAAGACAACAGGCGAGGCGCTTAAGCGCTGACACGAAGCTTGACTCGGTCTTCAGTTCAAAGTTCACTTGGTGATTGACCCCACGTCGGACCAGCAATTAGGGCAAATAGGGTCGGGCGAGTCTGGCGCGGCACAGTACTAAGCTGCAACCCAGCGAAAGTGACAACCCTTGTGCAACGCCAGCCCCTACCGTTATCACCCTAATCACGTCTACCGCCAGTAGTATACGCTGGTGCACTTCGTCGTGCACGTCGTCGATGGCCTGCTGGCCATCTCTAGCGCGAGATTTAGCATGGAAGTTGTACGTGCTTGGTGAATTGTCCTTTAAGAATCTTTTTCTTTAATTCTTCTTTTTACGCTGTTTGTACATGGGGAAGTACAGGAAAAATGAAAGACAGTTGGGGTTTTTCACCTTACTTTATTGGCCAATACATGGACAGCATGGACACACAAGATGGGTCACAAATATGCGGTCACCTGTGGGAGGCCAACCATTGCGGTGGCCTGACGTGGCATTTTTGGCTGTCTGTTGTTTTCACCTGCGGCCCGCCAAATCATGATTTAAGACGTGACTCAGAACCTAAACCTCAAGCTGTACTCTCAATCACCATTTCAAGTCTAACGCAGCCTCAATCATTAAACTCTCAATCCCAAGATGGATATCAAAGACGTCTCAAACGAGAGCAAGTACATCGGCTATCTGAAGCAACTTCAGGGCGCTGCAGAGCGAGCCGCCCGAAGAAAGGGTCAAGCCGTGCGAGATCATCCCCCTGCTCAACAACTCGTCTCGTCCTTCTTGATGAAGCTCATGGCCGCCTCATATGGCCCTCGGATGGAGGAAAACACAATCGCTACAACCCAGGTCCCAGCGCCTTACCCACCATGCATTCATTCTGCTAACGACCTGGAACCCATCATGATCTCCGACATGAGACTCGAAACCCATCATCGAGGGAAGAAGGTCATGCTGCGCGTCCTCACGCCACCGGACCGCATGACGGCTGTGATGGCCATTGTAGAGGATGAGAAAGGAATCGCCGTGTTGCTCCAACTCTATCACCAACCTGAAGAGACCGTCGTCCCTGCCACTGAGATCCTCTGCCTGAACATGGTCTGCACCCTCAAAGAGCCCTTCTTTAAATGCGCCACGGATGGTACATACTCGCTGAGAGTCGACCATCCTAGTGATATTATCCGGCTGGACGCAGCTGACGACCGCATTCCCTCGCACTGGAGGCCATCGATGGTGATCTCAAGCGAGAACAGCACAGACATTCGAAAGCAGGGGAACGACGCTGTAAAGGCTAAGAAATGGGCTGAGGCACTGCGACTGTATGTTTCTCACCTTGGCTTGTCTGACTCTGAAGATCAGGTCAATCACGTAACTGACAGTCACCCAGGTATTCTTCAGCTATTGGAGCGGGTCAGAATTTTGAAGAGAGACAACTCGCTTTCCTCAACCGCTCACTTGCAAACCTGAACATGGACCGACCGAAGCAGGCCTTGTTGGATGCCGAGAGAGCAACCAACCCTGGGATGCCATCTGAAAAGTGTCTCTTCCGTAAGGCTCGAGCATTGTATGAGCTCGGCGACTATCAGCAGAGTCTTGAGGTGCTGGAAACACTCACACAGTCATTCCCTGAAAACAAGGCAGCCAGCTACGAGAAAGATCGGCTTAGTGAGCGGCTTAACGAACAGCGAACAGGCGAGTACAAATTCAGGCAAATGTATAAGCAGGCGGAAAAGACACCTCCCTTAATTGACTGTGCCACCTTCTCAGCTCCTGTAGAGATTCGCCAGTCGCCTGGACGGGGTAAAGGACTCTTCACCACCAAGGCGGTCTCAGCAGGGGAGCTTCTGCTCTGCGAAAAGGCATTCTCCTACAGCTTTGCTGGCGATGAACAGTCCACAAAACAGATCAAAATCCTGATGAATCTTGCCACCAAGAGGATGGTAATGGGTGGCCCAGCTCGTCTCTTGTCCCTAGTTGTACAGAAACTGTTCCACAACTCGTCGTTGTCCGCTGAGTTTGGAGACCTCCACCACGCCGATTACCAAAAGGCTACGGTCTCGGAGACTGACGGAACCCCCGTAGTCGATTCGTGAGTTGTCTTCTGTTACTTTGACTGGTAAACTAGTTAAGCCAGACGACTAACCGAGACTCAGATTCCTGGTAGAAAGGATTACCTCCCTTAATTGCTTTGGTGCTCCGAGGACGAGCCGCGAGTCATTCTTCCAGGCAACATCCAGCAGCAGAGATATGACGGGTGACAAACACTTCAAGCACACAACCTCGGGCATTTGGCTCATCGCTTCTCGTATCAACCATTCCTGTGTGGGAAACTGTCGACGCTCCTTCATCGGAGACATGCAAATCGTGCGCGCGACGAGGGACCTCCCTGCTGACACTGAACTCTTTTTCTGCTATCGGCCCCCTGTGCGCTTCGAAACTTACCAAGAGGCCCTGAAGGGTTTGAATCACTGGGGATTCACGTGCGGCTGCGAGCTGTGTTTGCTTAAGAAAGCCACGTCTAGCTCCGTCTTACAGAGACGCAAGGTGCTCACCGACGACCTCCAGAGGCTTCTTGATCGCTCTGACTCAGACAGCGGAGCCAAGGCAAGTCGGCTCATGAAGGCTCTCGAGAAAACCTACCCGAGAAACAACGACTGCGCCATTCGACTAGAACTCTGGGAACCCTACTTCGCTTTCGGCGCCCACCTGCTGAAGAATAACCAGCTGAATTTTGCGGCCAACATGATCCTCAAGGGTCTCGAGGCTCTGGGACACAGCATCATTGCATGTCCGCCCGATGACATTACGGATCGGCCGCGACTTGAAGTTCAACGATGGGGGTTGGCGAACGACGCTGTGCCATGGTCATTCAGCAACCTGGCGTATGTGTATCGTCAACTTGCTCCTGAACTATGCTTGGCAGCAGAACATTACGCTGAAATATATTATGCCATGGTCGTGGGCGAAAAGGAAACTTGGCCCGAGGTGCTTTCGAGTTCTTCTTGATGGAAAAGAAAAACATTCTAGAGCGACTTCCAGTATTTCAGAATTTCTTTTATACAGAGTACTCCTGTCACTGCATCTACCTGCCTGCTCTTTCCTAGAAGGTCAATACTTAGCAACCTATCCTAAGTGAACGAGTAAGTGTGAATCTTTTAATCTCTAATACAGTCAACAATCCTGTGAAAAGATCTGTCACGGGCGCTGCCGCTCCATCACCGGCATCTATGGCCTTTATCAATCCATGATAAACCCTTGCGGAAGCAGACAAGGCCAGGCTAAATATCGCTAATTGTGCTTGCCCCACGTGCTTTATCGGGTGACCAAGGATTGTCCGACATAAGAGATCTGTCCAAGTCCTTGCCAAGGACACTGACAGTGAAAGCGGTATTGGTCTGGCGCTGGCAATTCGATCTTCACTTGTAATTATATATGTTCCATTCAACGTTGTTTCGGCATCACAGTATCCGTAATGTGTTTGTGTCAATGCTGCGTTGGTGGGGGCCGTCAACAGAGGGAGGCATCAAAGACGACCAGATACTGCCACAGTCTTGAGCTTAAACCATGGGACTACCGATTTCGGTATAAGAAACATACTGCGATACGAAGCTTTCCCATTATATGTTAAATAATAGATGGGGTCAGACTTTGATAAGAGTGTTGTTTTGAGTTATTAGACCCCACAACTGATAGCTCATATCTCGCGATTGCGTGTATGATGACGTCTTATCAAGGTTACGATTTTATAAATAAGCTGTACTATGTACAATCTTATCTGTTACCAGTAAACGGAATAACAATTATACCGACTATCTATTACCCCGCTATTGCAATTACTCTAGAGTTCTCCAATTCTCCAACATCAAAATAAAAATCCACGCGCAACCGGATATCATATCATGGCTTCATTTACAAGACCTACCTTATCGCTTATCGAATTGCTAAGTGATAAGCCCCACAGCCTAAACTCCTCCATAGTAGACACAATTCTTTTTCATCTAGGCATCGCAGATATATACTCATTACATGCATCATGCCGATCTCTGCGCTGGTTAGTAGACTACATGACGGATTCGCCATGCTTGCTCAACATCACGAGGCAACTGCAACCTTTTGTCAACGACCCAATGCGCTTCCGAAAGGAACTTGGCAAGCATGATGGGCTCATTGCAGGGGACTTCGTCCGCAACTTCTTCGAATTCAACCGTTGGGAAGTCAGCTCGCTGCTTGTATACATTGAACGGGGACCCAAATACCAGCGTTTTATCAAGTATCTACTTGACCATGAAGGATACAGACCCTATGCGGAAGAAACAATATTCCGCCGTGACAATACGCCAGATCTATATATTGTCATCATCGCTACAACCGATTCCCCTGTCGTGGAAATCGTCAACAAGGCTCTCACGACAGCTGATCTGAATGTTATATCCTGGAATAAAGCATACTGCCTGCTTCCGATTCCTACCGTTGTATTTCACAAATTCTACCCTCTCAGACCCTTCGACAATGCCCTTGGCAAATCACTCCGCCACCGGGCCAAACGGGGTTGGACTACAAGGGACATGCTTTGGCCTGATTTGACAACTCAACTCATTTCTCGCAAGGAATGTCGTCAAATTGGCGGACCGAGCTCTCTTATCATCAAACTTGGAAACGAACCATCAGGGGCCTACACTCCTGACTATGTCCTCCAGGGGAGCGTCTATTCTGTGGTATGGAAAACAATGGATACTGGTCGGTTCTTATCTGTTACCATGCAGCCCGGGCCTGTTTCCTATGCACTTCGTTATGCACACGCAAATGGCGAAGCCGGTCGTGGCTGCAAAGACTGGGAAAGATTCTTGTGCGACCGATTGGACCGTTGGACTTATGTCGAGATAGCCAAGATGGATCGTGAGCAACAGCCACAAGGGTTCTACCATATGACACCAGGGAACTATCGCGTCCGTGTTCCTGCTGGACACCAGCTACCCGAAACGTGGGACTATGCAGATGACCAGATCATTCCGTGGTTTCGAGAATGGGAGGCAGGTCAGACAATGAGTAACGAGTAGTATAGAGGACAGTCAATAACCTCTTGCTTCAAGTTGGAATAAGGACGCTTTCTTCTATAACATTACTATGAATAATTTCACCACTGGCTATACCTGTTGTCTGTTACGCGTTCGCCGTTAGTATCAGTGTGACTGACTCGTCGTTTCGTTTCGTCTTCATCTATGATGATCTAATTGCACCCGGCCAAGAAACCAAGACCAGTCCTGTATTTACGGATTCAAAGCGGGCAACCAGTTGGTTTCGGCGCTATCAGTAGAACTTCATTATAGACATGCCAGTGCGGATAATCGATGCTGAGCATGACGCTTAGTGTTAAGCATGCAAGGCAGCTTTTTATTATCTGCCCAAGGCAGTTCAGCTTCTCACCCCATAACAGCTGAGGTATTCAAATGGAAAGCTTGGCAGACAAGGGCTGTGCCCAATAGAAAGAGACTGGCATTCACCCCTATCTGTACAGAACTGCAGGCACTTCGATAAGAGCGTTATTTTGAGTTGATAGACCCCACAACCGCTTTGACTTGTTAACGAACATCCATGCTCCTCTGTCTCACCATATAACACATCAATAGCACCGCTAGAGGAATGAGCGAGCTGGTCTGAGTTGATTGATTTGGTGTGGCAATGCAGAATTCCGGAAGTGCAAGTTCCGTGCTTCGGACAATTGTGCAAGCTGAAAACGCTCTGCAATTGCTTAGAAAGAACTACGCGCTAGAGGAGTATATGTGTCGGCAGCTGCAAGATATGCCGACCGAAACATAGCTTATGCGACTTAGATGATGTTCGACGGTGTAAGCTCATGTTAAAGGCAGAATGCCCACATCTCGGGAGTATTGACATCTGTACTTGAAACCAGGCAGTTGAGCAACGTAGCGACTGACATGAATCTTTTCCCGAGCCTCGGTTTCCATTTCTTCTCAGGCACATGACCTGTGAGGCCCAACAGCAAATGAATAGGCTACTACCAGGCTGGGCTGCTTCTCTCAATTCATAGCTATGGAATTCACTTGCTTCGTGTCACCGCCAAGGTGAACCAATCTATGCTGAAGTGCGAGCTCTGGTGCAGAGGGGGCGGGAAATGCGATGCAGGGTATTCCGAACCTCGGAGGTTACTAAATGGTTCCACGTAGTCTAGGGCTGCTGAATCTGTGCTCTGAGCCCGGAAGTAACTGATGGGCATACCTCACTACATCTAACAACCGTAATGAACATATAGAGCCCATTGTAAAGGAGTATTTCCAGAAGTATCATCATCCGAATCACAGGCAATGACATCTCTCAATCCATCATCCAATCTCTGTCCCGTAGTCCACATGCCTCCATCATGACTTTCATCGCGTTGATAATTTGAGGTATTCTCTTTCCACAACTGATGTTTATGGTCATGTCGCCAAAGGTCTCGTAACTCACGAACAACGTGATGTAACCCTTCACTTACTGAAGCATCCGTAAGTCCCTTTTGACAGATGACCTCATACGCGAGGACTGCAACGTCTACACAGGTCTTGTTATTTTCCCTGCATAGTGTTCCAATCACGTGCCGAAAACCAGCTAGTTGACAGCCACTGATCAAATGCACGCTTTCGTCAAGATGCCTGGCATCTTGTATCTCCCCCGTGCCGCAAGCTCCGAGATAGGCAAGAAACGGCTTCTGCTTGCGAAGGTTTATTGCGATCAAGTCTGAAACTGTGAGCCGGTTGGTCTTCCAGTCTTCAAGGCGTAGGTGGCTTCTTGATGGATCAGAATGGTCAGTGTAACCATGCCCAGCGAAGTGAAAGATATCTGAACTGGGCAAATGTGCGAGAACGGAGGCTTTGGTGCATCGATCTGGACGAACGGTTCTGATTGACACTTTTCCACAGACCTCTTCAACAGCCTGGGCTTCTGCGACTGCGTTTGGGAGACGTGCTGTAGTATCTGGTGTGTGCTCCATTGAAAAGATTAAGGCCTGCTGAGCCTGCTGTAGCTGGTTACGTCCTATGTTTTCTCCTCGGTTGACAGTCTCTACCAGGGCTCTAATCGATGGGCTGTAGGACAATATGGCTCTATCGATAGTGCTATTGAAAGACTCCTCTTCCAAGTGATGGCCCGCAGCATGCAGTGGGAATTTGCTCAATGATCCTGTAGGAATCCACCAGATGCGTGGCCACGGATCATCCCAAGAAGGCGGGCCAGTATATCCAAGAGCATCAAGCACTGGGTCAACAATGGTATCCCAGAGCCACTCAAGCACAGAAAAACTTGTAAAGTTGCCCTCATCAACCCTGTCTTGTACTGCCTGCATCGATAGCTTCGGTAAGGTCAAGGCTTGTGTCATGGCCCCTCTGATCAGAAACGCATCGCAGCGATAGTGCACATTTATGACAACAATGGAGCCACCCAAAGATGCCTGGGCTAGATGGGCACTTCTTACAGTTTCAGGAAAGGCCATCTGGTGATTGAGGGCGCGCAGGTTATGAACAAACTCGTTGAGTTCTCGACCGACTTGTATCCGTCGAGCAGATTGCTTTACAATTCCTTCTCCTCCATGGGTGTCATTTCTAACATCTAGAGTTGAAGAGGGCGATTTATACTGAAGTTCCTGTTGGAAAACGGAAAGCCGTTCGCGATGCTGGGCACCTAGAGCTGCAGCTGAGGTCAAGTCAAGACGGAGTTCGTTCAAGGCCAACATGACCACCCCGCGGCCTGCTTCTGATAGTTGAATGGCCTCCATGGGCTCACAACCTGCACTCATGGCAAGGGCTGCACCCTCAGATGCTAGTGTTGAGTACTTGGACAGTAAAAGCTGGCTCTCTGAAATATCCAGAAAGCGTGGCGTGGTCGCGGCGATCAATGGTACCACTTGTTTGATGACGAGATATGCCTTGTTCCAGTCTTTCTGCATTTTCAATGTAGATGTCAGGCTTTTTGCAACCGATGCGAGTCTTGAAAGATCTCTGGTTGCGTTGAGAGATGCCACATCAAAAGCTTCGTTAAGAAACTGTACTGCCTGATGTAAATCGGAATCGAGCTTGGCGGCATGATACCTACTCTTGTAACTTTCTCCGATAAGAACAAGCCATGCAACACGTGACGTATCATCTGTAGATATGGAAGATGTTACGATATCGCTTGCCTCATTGAGGAGCTGATCTGTCGATGCCAAGTACGAAATATGCTGTGTTATAGTGTAGCCTGCAATGTAGGCGTTTGCGAGGGTAACGAGCGGGTTGATTTTGAGTACACTCTTGGTAGCCAGTGGCGTCAAGACCTCTCTGATGTTCTCAATAGACTTGTCGAGATATGTTGAGATTCTTGTCTTCTTGTACCTTTCAAGATAATAGAATGAACGACCAGTAAAGATCCTAGTTAAGAGGTCCTGAAGTCTAATACTGTCACTAGAATCTCCTATTAAGCCTACCTCTCCATAGTATAGCTCCAGAGAGATATCCAGGCTTTGTTTGTTCCTGATGCTGCAGTACTCCACTTGATACACCTCAGCCAAATCCACTAGAGATCCTGGTCTTGATGGGCAACTTTCATCCATAATCCTAAGAGCTTGCCAGAAGATCTGCTTAGCCAATTCAATTTCTTCCTGCCTGTTGAATATTGCAAAGCTTTTCATTGTAGTCGATCCCTGCAGCCGAAGAAGATTTAGGTATCTGCTATCATCTTCTCTTAGAGCTCTTGTAGACTCACGGAGCACAGCGAGACACATTTTTAAGTCCCCTATGTCACCAAAAAGAGCATACTTATTGCTTTACAAGGGTCCTAACAGAAGCACTCTGCTAAAGTGAATATTGGGTCTGCTTTAGATGCCATATAAATGACCTGTTGGAGTGATTTGATAGCGCTATTGAGATCCTTCACAAGGTTCGGTGTAGCTCTTTATTCTTGATCAGTCACACCTGTGAACTTATTCCCTCATAGCGGGTGGCGTAAAGACTTCCCAGGAGCTGCTGATATGTTGGCATTTACTTATGCCGGCGAGAGGTAGAGTTGACCGAGACTTGACAAATAAATATCTCATCGGAAAGAAGTAATTTGCTTTAGAACTTCTTATAGTCTTGGAATAACTTGACTGATAAATTGTACGCCAGATATAAACTGTTAGGAACATCGTACAGCGAAACGCCTTCTCTTTACATCCTTAGAGTATGGGGTGCGGCACTAGTATTTCTAGTACCCTTATGTTTAACAAAAAAGCTAGAGGGCTCGCCTCTACCGAGAATCAGCCTTCGCTCCTCAACGATATGTTGAAACTCCATAGCTCGCTCAAGATCAAAGGCTTGACCTTCAAGGAGATATCTATCCTGCAAGAACTTTGCAACATTGCCAGCACAAAGTATTTGATTGTGGTAGTCACCAGTCACAGTTCCACAAGATGATAGATACCAAGCCTCGAGACCAATTTCAATGGATGAGGATAGATCTGTCAGTCTGCTAGTATGCGAGTAACGGCAATGAAGCGCTATAGCATATATGATCAGATAGAAGGCACGAAGAGGGTCATCTTCAGAAGTCATGTCCACTGCGCCTGGCGCTGAAGCGTCCTCTCAGTGCGATGACCAGACCACAGAAATGCCAGGCCAGGTCTTTTGATTGATCATCACCCTCTGCTATTGCGATGGCATCTCGTTCCAGCTTGACAGGTTCTTCGATGTCAGTCGGTATTCCATAGGTGAGGAAGCAGCTTAAGGCCAACACAAGATCAGTTGTATGCTGTGCTATGACGGAACAAGGCATACGCCTGGTCTTTGTAAGAACGTCTCGAAAATGTTGACTATAAATTTGAAGACCGTCTTCAGATGCTACTGGAAGGTAGAGGAAGAGCGTCGGTGGACAGCGGCAAATGATGCGTGCGAGATCGGGGTGCTGTCTTTCGTGTACCAAGGTAGTCTCACGTACCAGATGAACTAACTGCGGAGCCTCTCCTAAATTATCTGGGGACCCCTCCCCCTTACTCAATGTATGCAAGTCACATAGCATTGCTGCAAGACTAAGGAAATAAGGGCAGCCATTCATTGGATCCTCAACCTTCAGGTCAACTGCTTGACGACCCAATACAATCGCTTCGTCAAGGTCGTTGCGGTTGTTAGCCGTGAGGAATCGCTGGCACAAAGCAGCTGCTAGGCCGTCAAGGATTCTCGCTTACATATAGGGTGTATCGCGGGAGGCCATCACAGCCTGTTGTCCTATGCGAATTGCTTCATTCAGATCTGTCAAGTGTAATGTAAACTTGTATTGCTGCAGAAGACCACGTGATAGTTTGGCAAGGCAATGTGGTTGATTGGTATCGTCTTCTGGCATCAATCCATATGCCCTCTTACAATAACCGATCGCCTTGTCCAGATCAGATAGGAGTTGAGTGGTACAAAACATCAGGTAGGTTGTTGACCCCAAGTTATACAAAGCGGTGGCTCGACCACTTATATCGATATCAGACATCTCAAACACTTTAGTTCCAATAATCATTGCCTTTTCGAGGTGGTTCGGGTGACCGGTGATTTCATAGCGAAGCGAAAGCTCACGGGCCTGGTAATTGTGGTACAAATGCTGAGGTTGTCAGGCAGAATACTCCCAGTCATTTGGGTGTAGTCCCAGCTGGTTTGACACCCACAGTACCTCATCAGCAGCAATTGGGCCTTTTTTCTCATCGTAAAGCCTCAAGAGATACAATCCCAGCCTGAGGAGATATGATGGGTTCTTCGAAAGTTTGACAAGCCTCCTCATGATATTAACAGCCTCAACGATGTCTTCTAGCTCCCCTGTTTTGAGGTATCGTCGATTCAGTGGGCGAGCAAGCTCATACAAGCTTGTAATCTTGCTAGCGCCATAGATATGAATGTTTGCCGGGTTTTCTCTTGCCCGCCTTATGTCAAAGGAGTGGGCACCAAAACCAATCTTGTAGCGTCACCAGGCATTAAGCAAGCTTTCCCATTGGAGTCTCTCTTTGACTTTGGGAAGCATCAAATTGACTCTGTAACGTGTCATGTCGATCATCCTGTCAAGATCTAAGAGATCTCCTGCTATCTTGTAGCGTTCCGAAAGTAAATCGTAGAGGAAATTAGAAATTGCAATTTCCGTAATTCCAATCTTGTCTCCTCTCAACCCTCCTCAGAGCCAGTTATAGCTGCAGATATCGCTTCGTCTAGATGTTCCACTGTTTTGGTCGCTTTGTATGACTGAAATAGCACACGGTCGAGGGCACCCAGGCTACCGTGTCAGTTCTCTGGAGTGGCGTTTGAGAGGGTCTCTCTCGCTAGGTTGATCGCCTCCTTGATGTCGGGATCCTTTCCCATTATTACGTATTAAATCTCAAGAAGTTCCGACAATTGAGCAGAAACATCTGTGTTTATCTTGCATTATTTCACGGGCTTCTTAGGCGAGTTGAACTGCATTCTCGAGACTGTCCATCATTCCATCCCTGTAATGTAGCAACTTATACAAGATGCTTAGGTGTAAAAGGTATGTATGTCGCTCCGGCCAGCCCCTTTCAACCATAGCGAGTGCGTCTTCCGATACCTTGATAGCCTCTTCGAGATCCTCGGATGCGTCAGGTGAGCTCAGGTAAATGTCGGTAAGTTTCTCGTCAGTGCTGACACACTGCTCAATCTCCCATGTAATTTGTTTTGTCTTGTACCGAACGAAAAGCATGTCTCCAAGGTCTTTCAGACCAAAGGCTTGTTACTGGTCCTCTGGCAGGAGTTCAAGGGCATTTCTTTGGGTCTGGATGGCACGATTTAGGTACGAAGCCTCAGAACCCTCACAACCGAAACTGAGAGAGAATCGGCGGAAGTTGAGAGTAGCCAAATCGATGAGGTCGTCAGCTTGAACTTGATGTTGAGGTATCGGCTTAATCGTTTCAAGATGGCACTGTATAGCCTCGTCCAAGTTATGATCCTCAACTAATAGATCTGTCAGTTCTCGAAGTCGGCGAACCCGTTCCTCGCGGCAATCAGAATTTGCCTCAAGTCTTTTTCGAGCGGTACGAATTTCTTCGCTCTCTTCTCGAACAGAATCCTCATTGCTGGACATGTTTCAGGACGAGGTCAAAGTGCAAGCTTTGATGTGAGCTCAATGAAATGGTCCTCTGACTGATGAGTATTACGAGTGTTAAAGCCACCAGGTTGGGCAAGTGAAGAAGTATTTGTTCATTAGATTTGTTGGCTCTCGTAAATTCATGCTGACTGCGCTAGTAGGGATAATTAGTTGGCTGAGATTCGTGGACCATTCAGATGCGTATTTTCAAGCCCCCAAATTTGTTACGGACAGACACGCCAATTGAAAGCAGGGTAGGAATTGTTGACGCTGAAAAGTTCCAATAAAGCCTGGTCTCTTTACCTTTTATCTGGTGATAAGATATACCCGACACTTAAAGTGATATGTTAAGAACCTAATTTGCTGCAATGGATACTCTTTAATCTTATTTCTAACTGCAGTAAGGTTAAGGTTTTAAAAGAGGCTTTAGCCTCTAGGCTATAAAGGTAAAGGATATTAATAAATATATA